GATCCAATCATCCCCTCCTGTTAAACTTGGGTAACCTAAACCCCTCTTAAACGCTAAAAGTAACGCCTTCTTCTTTTCTTATTCCCCCTTGACTGCTGCTAAAACAAGGGCCCGGTAACGACTTTCACTTTTCACAGTAGAGAAAGTACCCCCCCAAGTAAAGTCATTGCAAAGGCCTGCAATTAACGATTGTTACAAACATCCTCATATGACAGTCTTCCCCGGCCTCCCTCTCACCTTCATCACCGCTTCCTCAGAGGCTTGAACCGTGCTGGATTCGAGTGGAGGATTTGTTGGAAGTGGCCGAAGCGCCATTGTCGGCTAGATCCGTGGTTCTCTGCCACAGCTGCAGTGACTAGACGCAGAGTTTTCTGGGTGCTGGGAACTGCCCACTGAACACTTCTTGAAGCGAGATTTGCGCTGATTTGTGTCGCAGAAACTGCGATCCAAGGCTCGTTGGGCAGGTTCTGGACTGCCTGTCAACCGCGCATGGCAACACGGATCACATGGTTGATGCGCTGTTCGTTGGACGGGTGAATTCGGGTTTCGACGTGAAGAGTTCCAACAATACTCATCAGAAACAGGGACACAAATTCAATGGATTTCCGTGTGACAGGCACGAACAGCGCAACCCACGTGCTCCCGGCCCACCTCCCATCTCGCCGTCGGTCTTGGCGACAGACATGGCAGCGCTTCCTAGTCCCACCAGTGCATGTGGGGAGCAGACAACGGCAAGTCTGAGTTCTATAGGGCCCTTCTATAGAGTGCCCCAAGGTCTCCCGTCGTGCCTTCCAGGAACTGTGCCGTCTGCTCGCTGGGCTTCAGAAGTCTGGAGGCCAGCTTCACCTGCCGCTTTCATACGAAACTTCCTTTTTCTGATATGTTATGTTCCCGTATCATTGTATAGGAAGGTGTATTGGGCCTCTCAGGCCTATTGAGTCTGTGGGTTTATTAGGGTTCCCGGAAAAATCTCGCAATGCTCCTTGGCATTGCTTGTGCTTGGCTCCCAAAGGCGGACTAGAGCGCTATCACCAGCACCTAAATCTACCTGGGGCCCTATACCTCTCTACCCTAAACCCTAAACCCTAAACCCTAAACCCTAAAATTAACCTATACCTCTACTGGTATTGCTACTCTGAACCTTGTTTTGAGTCGTGCAGGCTCGGTCCTCCTTCTCGTTCTTCACGGGCCAGCGTGGCTCTGTATCGTAGTAGCGCACGACATAGCCCAGTACCTGCAGTGTGTCCGACACCCTTATCTTTGAGAAGCTCTAATCTGTCTGGCATCATGAACGCAGTGTCTGTTTCGATTTTGCCTCAGACTCTTGCTAAGGTACGGCATTTCATGAATCTTGAGGTTCGTCTGCATACTTAACATGCATGTCTTCTGTCTTTATACCTGCACATGTATCTGCTTGTCTGTACCACTTCAATCCTGGCATAGCAGCTGGGCTTGGATAGTACGCTCTGGTTGCTGAGTCCGTTGAAGCTCTTTCCTAGCAGACGCCTGCTTTCCAGCCCGTGCCTCGTCCTGCTGCATAGAGGGGCTGGCCCATTTCAGTAACAGGCGATCGTACCTGCACAGTGGGCTCTGGTCTCAGGGCTGGTTTCGGATGAAGGGGGTTCGAACACTCTTTTAGTATTTCAAAAGAGCATGTCAGAGGTTCGTTGTTTGGGAGTGCATCATCAAGGCACAAAGACGCCGCAGCACCGCCAACACGGTGACAGCAACTTGCAGTACGTCCGCTTCATAACGAACAAATGATGAACCTGAGCAGAGTTGACTCGCATGGCCATGCCCAATCGAGGCAAGAGCAAGGGTACATGTGAGTCTGTGCAGCTTTTCCATCTTTCTGGGAATCCGGGAAGTCCCCTGAAGTGCCCAGGCCTGGCGCACTGCAGGCGCGGGGCATCTGCCAGAGGCGGCGCGACAGCGAGCGTTTGAAACCTGAATCATGTTTTGAAGGTCCAAGTGCTCCAAAAGCAGTCCAAGAGTAGTATACTATGTTTGCACTACTCGTGTTGTAACTCGTAGAAATGTACTGTCTAGTCCTACAGGCACGGTTTGGGCTTTGGGCTCCGAACATCGAAGCTTCGAAAACCGCAAAGCGCCTCTGAGGTGAACTTCGCCGTCCCGCGGAGAGCGCCAACCGCACCTGGGAGAAAGGAGGTGAACTGGTCCAGATGACGCATGCATTTAAGCCGTGTCTTCTCAATCTTTCTGGGAAGTGCCTTCACGTCGAATCTCCGGTGCAGGCCGGAGGCATTGCAGCTTGCTGCACATCGTGCAACAGCTTTGTTGACGACCCTTTGATGGTTCAGGTTGTGGCAAACATAGGATGTAATAGTAGCAGCTTTTTGGAATCACAAAGCAAGCACCACCTACGGTCGGCACACCCTCACTATCGCAACCATCGACTCTACATGCTCAGTTTCTGCCCTGAGCCAAGATAACGATGTAGGACTGAAGTGCACCTTGCTAGAAGACTCAGTCTACTCACAGAACACGGACCGCCGTAGGAATCCAAAGATCGCGAAGCCAAGACTTGGCATCGGGCATCGTAGAAGGAAGCTGCTTCCAGTCCCCGGAGCGTGATGTGAACCTCCACTCACAAAGGGCACAGCCCATGCTTAGAGCCGGCATACGCACACCCGGTCTGCTCTCGGAACACCACTCTGGGATCCTCCCAACTCGAGGGGCCCTGGATGCCCCAATTCGCTGAAACATCAACCCAAAGGATCTCGACACGTTTTCGAAAATGGAAACCAATAGGGCAAACAAAAGAGATTCCATGAGTCGGCCAGCTCTGATTTCTGATGGTCTGCTCAGTCTGCTCTGCAGCCAAAGCACGGCACGTGTGGCCACCTCCCTCGACGAAGCCTTGGCTTGTTAAGGCCGTTTGCATGCGAACTTTTGTGAAACCTCAGCTGACCTTGCGCATCTCACCACTTCGGACACGGCATGAAAAGCCAAAGAGCAGGCTCGGTGAGAGCTGTTTCGGAGGATGGCTTGGAGTTCATCCGCGAAGGCGGGAAGCAGACGTCATTGACTTCGCACAAGGGCTGCCGCCTGAGAGCTCGTGATTTCCGCTCTGCGGGCTCAACAGCAAATCCTCAGAACTGCGTGCTGCTGCATGGTCCCATCCCAACGGCCCCGCATTAGGATTCTGAGATTTGCATGTGACAGCGCAGTACCGTCTTACGACTCCCGCTGGCACTACGGAGTAACTCAGAGATCAGGGACATTGACTCGTTGGAATTGCTCCGACTCATCTTGCTCCCGGAGGACTCCAGAAATTTCCCGGGGACGGCACTTCCATGCACTGGCGAGCAGCCACCGGCTGGGGCGATACTCTGCCTGCTCGTGATCGACGTTAATTAAAGGCATTTGTCATCAAATAAAATGCCTTAACGATTAGGAAAGGGTTTCTGGGGTATAATATACCCAACCAATATAAGGACTGTGTAGGGACATTGGTACAGGGTTGAGTTTATTGGAGTCTACAGCACGGGCAGAGTTCACGACATAGGTTCCCCAATCATCAGAACAGGGTGGTTGCCACATGTATCAGACCCAAGGAATAGCCGTACAAATTATTCAGGGATATGGGGCTTTACTGAGTGGAGCTCAATCGTTTCGGGCTCTGTAGCGTCGACAGTACGCCGGGATGTGTCGCGTCTCTTACCACACTTTACTTTACTATAAGACGGTATCCCGGAATTTTGGCCTCTACATCCTCGGGCTTCGTGTCCGCCGGCACCTTCTGTCCCAGGTCTCGAGGTGCTGAGCTTCAGCTTAAGTTTAGGGTTCAGTGGCAGGAACCCAGGGCTGCGATTTACTGCACGTGGATTTGAACAGTCGTTCGGTGCATGCTTACCATGGCGCCGAGCGGGTGTGTTTCACACCGCTTACATGGGTGTGGGAGCTATAGTGCTAATCATAGTCTTCAGACCTCAGGATTGATGAGCTCGTCTCGTAGGAGCACGTGGCAGACACTTGTGCAAGACTTTCGTTCCGACCAACGTGTGGCAAAGAATCTGTGTCGCCGGTATCATTAGCAGCAGCGGCAGCAGCAGGCAAGCCAGCAAGCCACTAGCTTGCGTTAGCAGTGATTCTCAGGCCCCGTGGGACGTTTGGCAAGCTGCTTGCCCCAACGGCGCTCAGTCATTCCTGCAGTCTTGAACAGGGAAACCGTGTGCAAACCAACGTTCATGGACAGTCTGAGCCGTTGCTACTCTGCCACTCCTTCTGGAAATCCATGTCACCCAGTTCTGGAAAGGCGCCCGCCAGCGCAGCGTCAGTGACGAGCTCCCGGCGGCTTGCAGCGTAGGTTCGTCGCCTCAGGCATCTTCCGGCATGTGCATCCTTCCATGTCAGGCAAAAGTGGTTTTTTGTCCGACAACGTCTCCGATACGTCAGCAGAGATTGCTACAAAAGATGTCCTGCTGAAAATCTCTTAGGCTTTGCTGCGGTTCGGTGGATTTCTTATGCCACCGATCCTTTCCAAGTGTGGGTTCCGCTGTGTCATATCTACGTCCTGCATGTACACAACACTCGTAATGGCAGACAGTGAGTGCATTTTGTGTGCTTGGTGTACATACATATATATATATATACATATACACACACACCTACATAAATACATAATTACATAATTACGTACGTACATACATACATACATACATACATACATAATTACATACATACATAATTACATAATTACATACATACATACATACATACATACATACATACATACATACATACATACATACATACCTATGCACATACATACATACATACATACATACATGCATGCATGCATGCATGCATGCATGCATACATATACATACAGAATTCCGTACGCCAGGATGAGGTAACATGAAACGAGAAGAAACATCACAAGCTTCCGTTGTCATTGTCAAGTCTCGCACAGCTGTGCCGATGGCCGATGGAACAAGCAATCTCGCACAACATAGCAAACAACCAGCACCGCCCCATGGGTATCATGTCATTTCAAGATACACCATGCCGCAGGGAGTATTCCACAAAATGTCTTACAACAAGACAGCAATGCAAGACTCGCAAGCTCAATGATGGGTTTCGTGCAAAGTATACCGAGCAATTAGGCAGGGCATTCGGTCGATCACTGTTCAGCAACTGCCACCGAATGGCTGCGTGGCGAGCGTGGCGAGAGCAGCTCTTGGTACTGGTGGCTGTCGTCCAACATCCAGGAGCCGGGAAGGCAAAAACCCGAAACCCTGAAAATGCTGCGTAGCGGGTGCTGAGCCCCAAGGTATAAGACGTGAGTCACCAATGCCCGGCACCGGGCAGGGTAAGGTTCTCACGCTTTGGCCTCGTTGGCTCAGTGGTGGATGCTCTGAGACATGCAAGCAGTGCTTTCATGATTTTCATAATGAGATGTTCTGGAAACCCGACCCTTCACTTCAAACAGCTTCGTCCAGCAGCGAAGCACGACATGAATCGACGTTTGGGGATGTCAGCGAAGTACGGACCATTGACCGGTAATTTGCTTTCGCCACAAAACCAGGACATGTTCACATCTGCGCAGGCAATCGAATCGTGCAGTACCTGTCTACATCAGTCTAGACAATGCCTGTTCGACTGAGACTCATACAGCTGCTGAAAATGGCACTCGGGCGAATCCACTCCAGTCGCACTACGGCGAAAAGCGAAAATTGGCGGCCGCCAGTTCAACCGACCGCAGGTTAAATGACTGCTACAGAACGGAACTTTCTGTTGCTAAACATTTTCTCCAGCACCGTCGAAGCTGTGAACCTATCCTAACCAGCAGAATTCACTGCACTTATGTACTTGGCCTCGGGTGCTTGGATTCCGGGCTAGCTGTCCGCTTTGCTGAAGCCCGGGTCTCAAGAGGATCCCGCTCAGGAGATGTCCTCAGCCTCTGCCTCTGTGGTCAGCTCCTGTATCGAGGGCCAAATTCGATTTTGCGGATAGAGTACTTATACTGTAGCACCCATACGGACCATGCTTCACGGCTTGTGCACGCATGGAGCGGCGTCGTTTGGGATCTGGGCTCGAAAGGAACCCCTCACCATAGCTGGAAACAGAAAGTCTTCAAAAGTTTGCGCGCCCCTCCAAGCCAGTGCCTCTGTGGCATCCAGCAGGTAGGTTTGAAACCTCAGCAAGACGGCGAGGCTTTCAAGTGACAAGAACGGGGCAACTGCGACTCTTCCTGGGTCCTCTGCTCTTCGAGGTATCCTGTGATCTCCTTGTGGAACTCCATGACCTTGTCGAAGTCCTGGGCTCGAGGTGTAGAGTGATCTCTGTCACTGACGACATGCACTCGAACGAGTTGCAAAACAGACCCGAGCCGTGTCAGCATGAGGGGCAGCAAACTTTGGCCAAGCAGTCAGACTGGAATATCGCGATAAATGCTTCTGATTACATGATAACGAACTAGAAGCCGAACGAACATGCCCTCTACCAAGACTAGAATGTGCGGATATGCACATGTAGGTATACATGTATCTAGTGATGTACGTATGTATACGTATCTTACAGGAGGCAGGTATACACTCGTGTCTCTCTCCATCTCTCTCCATAAACAAAGATAGCAGACACACACATACACACATTGTACATACCTGTTCAAGTACACATATAACTGCATTTCCACACACAGCCCTACGTACATATATGGATATGTATGTTTGTATGCAATGTACATATATCTGGATATGCACATATATATATATATATGTATAATATGTAGGTGCATGTATGTGTATATATATATATATATAGTGTACATACATGTACATACATACGTACATACACGCACACAGGCACATGCGTGTACGCACTTCGGAACCAGGCCTTTGCCTTCACCGGCTTGTCCGATGCCTCCAAGACTAGGAGAGATATTCTTTGGAAGGGGATGGAAGAAGTGCTTGTTATGTGCTTGAGAGCCAAAATCCCTTGCCAATTCCGCTCCTGAATCTTTCTCTGTCTGCTAGATTTCACTCAGCATTAGTGGTGCCCACGACACCACTACATCGAGCTCTATGCGACACTGACGGCTAAGCACTCTCATGGGAAACGCCTGTGTGGCGAGTGATCCCCACACTATTGGCCAAGTGCGCCGGGAACATGAGCAGCAATCGCCTGGAGAGGGCTAGGAAGCAAGCCCAGGCCTTCACTTGCTTCCGGAACTTCTCAATCAGTGCTTCGGCCTCATTTCTTCAAACTCATGATACGGTCTGCGGCCTGCATGTGCTTAACATATCAGTGATTATCAGTGTGTCAGGTGGCCGAGAGGCTCCTCAGTCACCTCAGCCGTAAATCACGGAACCAACGCTCGAAATAAGGTCGCCGGCGTTCGTCTTTTTGTCTCCACGGAATCCTGCATGAATGATACTTTTGAGCAAAGACACTCAAGGCTGGTCGTGCAAGCACTTCCCATATATCCAGCTGGCACGCGTTCAGTAGCACTGCTGCAACACGCAACAACAAGTCATAGGCACGGCTCCTCGGGTGAGGTATTTCATGTCGTCGTTCAGGCCGTAGATGCGCCTGCATCGCCAACATCAGAAGTATGCAGCATACTCAGACATGTACATAGCTTCCGTAAGCTCAGCTAAACCAAAATTCGTTGTAACAAGCAGAAGCTGCACAATGTCTTGATCTCCCGAGCGTCTCCTCAGGAAGCCGATGGTGTCGTCCCACTCCTTCCAACAATTCAAGACAGCGTTCGGGTCATTTTACGGCGACTGCAGGGGGACACAATTCAACGGCCGAGAACTCTCAGTCTTTGGGCTTCTCTTCGATGATGTTTACAAAACTGGCCAGATGCATTCACAAGGCAGTTGAAAAACCCCAGAGTTCTTCCTGAAGGCGTCGACAACAGCCTCTGCCCTCTTGTTGCGACTCATAGGTCGAGTTCCTTGAAGTAATATAGGGGCCTCACTACGTCACTACGTGGTATTGGGACCCTGTATGCCAGAATTATGATTGCAAACCCTACGGGATGTTGGCACCGCTGATTCTGGTCTATATTTTTCATGGAATCCATATGAAACCATAGTGTATAAAAGATGTAGAGCTGTAGAACCCTTATGAATCCCTTACAGAGCCCTTGTGTACTCGACCTTTGGGGCATCGGGCCTTGTCTTTGTCCTCGGCCGTTTGCAACTTTTCCGGTAACTTCTTCCATGCCTCGGTACTCCAAGAGTGCAGGACAGGCCCTGCAATAATTATGTAGACCAGGCCTTTACAGGAAACTATGAATTTCTACGGAAGGGACATTATTCCTGACTATTCCGACCCCGTTATTATCTGCGCACGCCGAATTGGGGGGGCTATTAGGGGCCGTGGATTCCTTCAGCAGCTCGGGCCCTTGCATCCAAGCCTTTGCGGATGCGGTCCTCCTGCAGAAGGCTGTGGAATTGGAAATGATGTGAACCCTAAATCCTAAACCCTAACAAACCCTAAACCCTACGTAAACCCTAACAAACCCTAAACCCTAAACCCTAACAATGGGCCTAAAGTTGCGGGAGGTGACACTGTCACAGAAGGCCAGAGCTCCTGCCGGGCTCCAGCAGGAAGGCTGTCACCTGCAGGAAGAGCTCTGCTTGCATGCGGACTCGGATTCGGCATGCGCAAGGCATGGATTTCTGAAGCCTTACCCTACATCACATCGACTTAATATAGAAACAAACGAGGGAGAGAGAGAGAGAGAGAGAGAGAGAGGGGAGGACAGTGTGACTTTTCCATGTCCCCATTTCATTTGGCCCCTTTGGCCTTCACCCACGTCTGCGCGAGCGCTCTTCGGGGCGAAGAAGCCCCAAAGAAACGCCGAGGCAGCGGCTACCACGTTGCGGCCTCGGTGCTTACACGACGTGACGCCTTGATGACCTGCTTAGCTGCCGCAGCCTCGACCTTATAAGTATCTTATAACTTATAAGGTCTGAAGAAACATTCAGCGCCTTTCCTATAATGGCATTGGCACTGCGACAAGTTCTCTTGATTATCTTGGCAGCAGGAATGCAGACTGTCTGTAAGACTGTAAGACTGTAAGCCCCAGCGAATTGGCACAATCAACGCCAGCTGATAGTTTGTCACAGGAAATAGCAGTTGCAATCAAACCACATGACTTTCATGCTGCAAATTCCTGCGCATCTCCTGGAAAGCGCAGTGCTCTCATCGAGCCTTTCTACCACGACGGCGGCGCAACATCGGGTCGATGGCATCGCTAGAGCCAGGACAAAGACATGTACTGTAGAGAAACAGCGGCTGCCCTGGACTGTTGCAAGCTAAGCTGGGTCGAAGAAACTCCCAAGGAAAGCGCATGCCCGCCTTAAACTTTGGAGATCTTCGGAGAAGCCTTCTTGGATGCGCTGGCTTCCAGCCCGGAGGCTCAGCGGATGGGAAATGTGATCTGAAAGAAGAAGTTGCCTTGCAGTGGCGCACAGGGTGCTTCGTAGGCATTGTGGGTGCATTCAAGAGGAACGAGCATACACTCTAAAGGTAGCAGTAAGCAACCAGGGCACACAGGCCAACCAGGATGCGGACCTTTCGAGGTCGAGAGTCTGGCTTCCATCCCACCACGAGGTCGAAACTCAAGTCAACTCCTGAGACTTTCATGGGATTTGCAAGACTAGAGCCGATATGACAATGATCGACCTAGGAAGCAAACTCGAATCCGCCACCCCTAAACCCTGAAGCCCCTGAGGCACTTGAAGACCCGATGGGGGACTTCTGTCTGCTACGCCTATCAGCCGTGGCTCCCACGTCAAGGCTGGCCCCGCCGCCTCGTCATAAAAGTCTGTTCGAGAATCACTTCAAGCTTCTTCCGGGAGATTTTTCACAATCCATCGAGGGCTCGACACGTCAGGACAACTGACTGTCCCAACACCTTTCTGGCGAGGTTCATACAGCAAGTCACGATACTTAAATTTCGGGCCTTCTAGTCTCTGCCTCTCCATAAAAAATTGCACTGTACAGACTCTGCACTCCATGAGAACTCTGCGAAGACAGATTTCAATCACGCTCCGCAGGTGTGGCCTGGGTCGGCAGTCATCTCAATCACCGAACTACGTGTCTTTTCTCGCGGCGATGATTGCCGACGCGATCTCGGGATATTTGGTCAGGCGTCTGGCGTTCCCACCCCCCCCCATGGTATGGCAGGGGTGGGGTGGGGGGGGGGGCTGGCGGGTGCGGAGAGGGCTGGAGGGCGGCCAGGGGTCACAGCGAGGGCCGGGATCTTGCCGCAATGCAGGCTCTAAGCTTGAAGCCGAACATAAACCGTCACCGGAACCAACGTACACCCGAAACCCTCCCTAAGCTCTGGTCGACCCGACTCGAAGCCTTACAACTTTTAACCTCAACGCTGAACATCAAACTCAAAAGCTTAAGCTAAACCCTAAACCCCAAAGCCCTACAACCGCACCACAGGGGGAAGAGGGACGCCACTCCCCACCCACAGGGGGCGGGGCATCCTGGACCATGGACCATGGGGCGGGGGGAAGGGGGGCGCGGAGTGCCTAACCATGTATGCAGGTCCACAGCCGGTGCTAGCCAGAATAGGTAAGTGGTTCCGAAGGTATCGACGACAATCTGTGGGACCTTCAATATGGATCCCAAGAGTTCCAAGGAATCGCAACATGTGCGAAAGCACTCGAACGGTGCCGGAAGGTCCTCGCCTAGGTTGTGGAAGCCCTCCGCATCTTTCCAGCCTGGGCAGACCTGACACAGTTGCAAGCTTCACCTTCATCAAGCTCTGAGCTACAACATCTGTCGTTTGGAAGACTAGAAACCAACCCCGAAGAAGAATCTCGACGTCATCAACCCTAAAGCCCTAAAGACACGAACGTGAAAAGCCAACATCTCAGAAACGACGGGTCGACATTGCTCCAGCCCCTGCAGGTGGCCACGAGCCGGGAAGGGATCACTGAAAGGGTTTGGGGTTGAGGTTTAGGGCTCTGCTGCAAAATGCTGAGATGAAAAAAGGAGGTTGGGCACCTTGGCGCTGATGCCGATGCCGCTGCTGGCCTTCATCATCCTTTGGGTGAGTAGCGGGGCGAGTAGAGGGACGAGTTCCATTCTTGACCTGTCTGGGCTTGAGGAAGTCTATGGCCTGAAAATGCTGGCTGAGAGTTGTTGCCATGCAGTGAACAGCCAATCACATGGCTTGGTCTTTGGCCGGGAACGACAAGGCTGCTGCCAAGCTTCACCTTCATGGCATCATCCCTGGCTTGATCCTGCAACGTGAAGAATCGGACTTGTGATTAGGGACTAAGGCTGTCCAGAGAGACACAGATTATTCGGATGTACATGTATCTCTGGTACATATACTTACAGAACAAGTAGTATATGTCTACATGTATATCTACTGTGGCCGGGCCTTGAGAAGGTCTTTCGTAGTGATGCCAGCGGGCTCTGGGGCCTGGTTGAGGAGTTTGACCACCTCAGGACTAGGTCTCAGATGCTGGCTCAGCAACAGAACCTTATCAGAAGCGAGCTCTGCCAGCCCTATCGGCTTACGCTCCTGATGACATTCTGCAGTTTCTGGCTTTTGGCGCCGCGGTCAACATGCAAAGATACGCGACTCTGCATCACTACCAAGAGTCCTAACAGCGACCCTATGAGTATGGTTCGGTGTCTTTGGGTGCTTCACACAAAAAGGTTCAAGCCCAGGTCACCTCTGCCGTCTCTTTGCCCGAGGGGCCGACAACCTGTCAGACGGTCCGTGAGATTTCGATACATGCGATGAACTCTTGGACTGTGTTGGCTTTTGACTTGCGAACTTACCCCACCGTGGGTTGTGCGGGTTGGGTTGCCATGAGCATGCAATGTAACTTGTGTGGAGAAATGCGCTGGGAAAGTGCTTCTTCGACTCGAGCTGCAGAACTCCACCACATTCGTCATCTTTCACTGCAGCCTAAACTCCCTTTCGCCTCCCTGTCGGCGCCTGCTCTGTGGTTGTGATCGCAGACAAGGCAGCATTCAGCACGCTCTCGCTAATACCATGCACCTTGTGGAGATTGGTGCCTTGCAGAGGGAGAATCGAAGAATTGGCCAAGAGAACATCTGGTCTTGAACATGGTGCAGAACAGAAGGTCGCAGACAGAGCTGACAAGGATATGTGCATCCTGCAACTGTCTGGAAGCAAGTTGGGTTGTCTCAGCCAAGCGTCGAAGGTTCTTCATCATGTGCACCCAGTTGCGGCCCGTCCCAAAAATCTCAAAACTTGCGCTGGCGGAGGCAAACCTCGTCGGAGGTTTGCACAGCACCAAGACGGAAGCTAAACACTCGTCACTCCTCTGTAGCATCATCCTACTTTGAGCGTCCGAGATTTCAGGATCTACACCTTCTGGGCTGGCATGGCAAAGGCGCATGTGCTCCCATGGCTGACACCTTTTGGGTGTATGTGAACAGCAACGTCTCGCGCATGTGAGGACCTGGCCTCTCTAGCGCGAGGTGTATGGTTCTCCAACAAGCATAACTAGTAAAGTACCGGATAGCTTTTTTTACGTGATTCGCTTGCCAGCCACACGAGCCTCGAAGCATAGTAAAGTACTGGATAGGGGCAACAAGAATCAAGAAACTCTTTCCGGAAGTTGCGGCGGAGCTGCAGGGAAATCCCATCGCGCACGTCACCAATGCCAACTCTTGCTCCACATCCAGCAACTTCCACTCCAATGTCAAACCTCCCGAGAATCCGCCCTACAAGACGCCCTAAAACCCTAGGGCCCTAGAGTAGGGTCTTCTGTGAATTGATTACATGGAACCCAGCCGAGACCAGCTCTCAAGGAATGTCGAGTGTGGCAAGCTTGACTCTCATCAACCGATCATTGACGGCTTTCTCTTCAATGTCAAAGCATTCCGCCAGAAAAGTCCTACAAGCTTATCCGTCTCCGAACACTGCCCTGCATTTGCATGTCGTCTGTGCATGCTTCTTCCGAAATGCACCGAAGTTACAGCCTCGTGTTGTGCAATTGACTGACATCCCGTTCTGAGGGTAAGCGTGAGGACCAGGGACTATCAAATCCTTACTCTAAGGCCCATTCGGAGCCCATTCCCATCATTTGGTCGGGAAGGCTTGGGGGCGACGGACACCCCAGTATCGCAGAAGGTGAACGGGCCGAGCGAGATGCTCCTTGGCTGCGGTAACGCGGAAAGTCTCTCAAGTGGAGCGGATGCGGACCCAAATATGAGGGCAAACAGGGTGGTGCTCAGCCCTATCATAGCCGTACTCCGCATGACACTCTGAGCGATCGGCTTCCAATGTGAACACTTTTGCGACGATATGGTATGGTTCTGACTTCATCATTGACGACAAAACCGGAGATCTGCACCATGCGTCGTGGGTGTACGCCCTCATGATATAGACTCGGGTAAGGGGCAACCGCTCCTATTGTTTCAAGACCAGGCTCCAAGCTGGGTCCAACTCCTTTGCCACTGTGACAACCTCGTTGCTGGAGTTGGCAGTCAAATCATTGTCAGCCAGGTTGTTGTTGGTAGGTATCAGTTGAATATTGTCATCATGACTGCTGGTACAAAAATCAAAAGCAGCAACGGCATACTTAGAAACAGCAGTGGAAGTAATTAGCAGCTGGAGTCGTGGCAGTAGCAGTAGTAGTAGTAGTAGTAGTAGTAGTAGTAGCAGCAGCAGCAGTAGTAGTAGTAGCAGTAGTAGTAGTACTAGTTTCAGTGGCAGTAGTAGTAGTAGTAGTAGTAGTTGTTGTTGTTGTTGTTGTTGTTGCCGTTGTAGTAGTAGTTGTTGTTGGTAACGGCTGTGTAACGGATCCCACGCTTTTCGCCTTGTCAGGCCAGGAAAACCCTGGCCC